CCTCAATACAGAATGTTTGGGACACAATGAAGGCCTATGTTAGAGGCTTGATAATAGACTATACAAGAAAAAAGAATAACAGGAAAAGGCGAACTCTTAAAGCCTTGGATGATGAATATAAGGGACTTGAAAAAGAATTACAGAAAATGCCACACAGAAAAGATGTTAAAATGAAACTGGATATAACTAAACATAAAATGGATTTAATAGAGAAAGAAGAACTGGCACAGAAAATTAGGAATGCTAAACAGAATTATTTTGAGGATGCAAATAAGCCAGGTAGATGGCTAGCATACAAATTGAGAAAGGAGAAAGAGTCGAGGAAAATACCGCAGTTAATAGACGACCAAGGTAAAATTTGTTATGGCAGCAAAGAAAAAAAAGAGATTATTTATGATTTTTATAAGCATTTGTATAAGAAAGAAGACATTGACGAGGAGAAAGTTAAACAATACCTACAGAATGCAAATCTACCTAAGATACCTAAAGAGATTGAAGAAATGCTAGAAAGTAATATAACAATGATGGAGTTAAGTCAAGCACTTAAGAAACAAAATAATGGAAAGGCACCAGGTCCAGACGGGTTTCCTGTAGAATTTTATAAAATCTTTCAAGAATCACTGTGTATTCCACTGTTAGAAGTTATGAATGAAGTTATGTTAAAAAAGATGATACCTAAAACATGGTCAGAGGCTTACATTACACTTATTCCAAAAGAGGAGGCGGACCTACTGCAAATCAAGAATTATAGACCGATTTCTTTACTAAATGCAGATTATAAAATTTTTGCTTCAATATTAGCAGAAAGACTTAAAAAGTACTTGAATAACTTTATCCACCCAGACCAAAATGGGTTTTTGCCAAAGCGACAAATCAGAGACAATATGAGAGTAATTCTGGACACCCTGGAATACTATGAGGCACATCCTGAAAAGCAAATGGCTTTGATATTTTTAGATGCTCAAAAGGCATTTGATAACGTGAATTGGAGATTTATGTTACTTTTAATGGAACAGATGGGCTTTGCTAGAAGATTTATTCAGGCAATAGAAGCAATTTATAATGAACAAACAGCTAAGGTAATGATGGAGGGAGAATTTACAGATCCTATTAATATAAGAAAAGGCACAAGACAAGGTTGTCCTCTTTCTCCCTTGATATTTGTATTGACTTTGGAAGTGTTGAATAGAAATATCAGAGAAGATAAAACTATAAAAGGAATGAAAATTAAAAAGGAAGAATTTAAACTACAAGCCTTTGCAGATGACCTAGTCTTTATCTTGGAAGACCCTATAGAAACAGCCTCGAAACTGTTGGAAAAGATAGAGGTCTATGGGGAGGTGGCTGGTTTGAAAATAAATAGAGATAAAACAAAGATTTTGTCAAAGAATATGTTGCTGAAACAAAGGGAAGAGTTGGCAGAACTGTTAAAAATTCAAGTTACAAACAAGGTTAAGTATCTGGGGATATATTTGACATCAAGATGTAGTACATTGAAGGAGAATAATTATATTAAACTTAAACAACAGATAGCTCAAGACTTGAAAAAATGGGAGAATTTACAATTGTCATTAATAGGAAGGATTTCAACAATTAAGATGAACATTTTACCCAGAGTCTTATTTTTGTTTCAAACAATACCAATTAGGCTTGGAAAAGAATATTTTGAGGATTTAAATAAAATTGTTTTGAAGTATATATGGCAAGGTAAGAAAGCAAGAATAAAGTTAAAGCTTTTACAGGATGCTAGATTTAGAGGAGGGTTTGGACTGCCTAATTGGGAGTTGTACTACCAAGCTGCAAACTTGACGTGGGTTAAAGAATGGATAACATTAAGGAAAACCAGATTGTTGACATTAGAAGGTCATGATTTGTTGTTGGGCTGGCATGCTTTTTTATGGTACAAGGGAACTAAAACACAGGGGTATTTTAGAAGGCATTATATACGGGAGTCTCTGTGGTTGAATTGGGAGAAGATAAAAAAACAGTGTTATTTGAAAATTCCAGTTTGGTTATCGACGATAGAAGCGTTTTCTTATCCTATAATCTATAAAAAGGAACAAACAGTTAACTATGGGGAATTATTAGATGAAAAGGGTGAACTTAAATCGATGCAAAAATTGGAAGAACAAGGTATACGGATGAATTGGTTTTCATATTTGCAAATATATTCAAAGTACTATGAGGATTCCAAAGCAGAGGGATTTTATGATAAGCAAACTGACTTGGATAAGATTTTGATGGGTACTGATGAAAAGGTGATTAAAAAATTGTATGGTTATTTATTGCAAATTAAGCTTGAGGAAGAACAAGTTAAAGAAACTATGATTGCGTGGGGGAGGAATTTTGGATATGGGATTGATTTAGAGAAATGGCAGAAATTATGGTCGCAAAATTATAAAATGACAATGTCTACAGCCTATAAAGAAAACTTGTATAAGATGTTTTACAGGTGGCATTTTCCCCCGACAAGGATAGCAAGAATGTTTAAGAACAAATCCGAAAAATGCTGGAAATGTCATCAGAAACCTGGTTCATACTATCACATGTGGTGGACTTGTGAGGATGCTAGAAAATATTGGACTAAAATCCACATGTGGCTGGAAAAAATGACAAAGAAGCATATAGACTTGAAACCGGAGTTTTTTCTATTGGGAATACTACCAGATACTTATAGTAAAGAGTTGAATATTTGATTGTAAATGTATTGACTGCTGCTAGGATTGTATTTGCAAAAAATTGGAAAAATGAGAAAATTCCATTGCAAGAAGAAGTTGTAAAGAAAATTTTGGAATGTGCTGAGATGAGTAGATTGACTTTTGAAATTAGAGAGCAAGAAGATAAACAATTTTATTTAGTTTGGGATCTTTTCTATCAATGGTTGAATGATGAAATATTAAAATATAAAAGTTAGATAATAAGGAATAATAATGACTTTATTTTCCCTTTCCTTTTATTGGTTTTTGATACTATATTTATATAATAGTTTTCTTTGTTTCTTTCTTTTTCATATTTGGGATAGAATTGGTATGATTATAAGATTTGTTTTAGAATAAAATATTTAAAATATAGTTATCTCATAAAGGCATGACCGAATAAAAGTTTAGTCAAATTTTTTTTTTTTTTCTTTAATAGAGATACTAGGATTTATAAATTTGTATTGATAAGAGTATTATATAAAGTAACTGTAACTGTGACTATGAGGTGAATGCACAAAACCGATGGACCAACCGACTTACGGTGTGTACAAAAATATGGGGGAGCTGATACTTTTATGTTTTGTTGTTGTGTTTTTTATGTTAAAAAAATAATAAAAATTTATTAAAAAAAAAAAAAAGAGGCACAAGTGCAGGACATGACCAGCCAGGAAAACTGAACAAAGAACAGCTCAGCAATCAGTGGAACAGCCAAAAAAGGCTCTTGAATTATCTCAGCAATACTGCTGTTTGAAGAGGCCAGGGTAGGCCAACAACATTCCATAGCAGCAGACTGGGTGGGGTGAAGCAGTATCTGACCGAACAGCGCTAGAGTATAGAACCCTAGATAAAAGGGTATCAGAAAACTTACAACAAAGAATGATGAGAGACCCTAGGATTTGGCAGTGATCAGGACTAGCAAACATCCATAAGAGTTCCAGAGCAAGAGACCCTAGGAACTATCAGTGAATAGAAAGAGTCCCCCAGAGCATAGTACTGCAGCCTGGCAATGAGTTCTTGCATCAGCTCTATGTAAAACTGAGTGAATTTAGCACAAAATCAGTTGAGACGGCCAAATTTACTATAGTGCAAGAAACCTCAAATTAAGAGAAAAAAATTAAATCAAAGAAAAGTTGAAAGTAAAGGGGGGATGATATAACCTAAGGAACAAAAGAAATAAGCATGGTTGTACAGAACTAAATTAATTAAGATAGAAATACTAAGACAAGGGAGCTACAGAAAGATAAAGCACTGTAAAGCAATGTAGAGATAGTCTTGGGAAAGGAATGGCTGGATGGTTAAAGAGAAACAACTGAGTCTAGGGGAAATGGAGAGCATGAGAAAGAAAAAATCACATCTTGCTTGGGGTGGGAAAATATGAGATAGGGCAGAGCGAAATTCTTGACAGGTTTTCTAGTAAAATAGTATTTCTGAAATCCTTGTGTTTTATATCCTGACATGGCCTCCCTTAAAAGGTTGGTCTCAATCTGAATGAAATTTATTAACATTCTCCTAGGTTTGTGGAAAAAATAGATGTTAGCTAGTCTCTAAATGCTGATAATAGAAAATACAACTTATTGAAATAGTAGGTGGCTGAAAATTGAATGGAGAAACATAGAATAAATCTTTGTATATTATAGTTCTATCTTTGTAGGATTAAAATAATTTGATAACTAAGCCCGCAGTCCTATTATCTGAACAATGTGTCATATTGCACATTATAAATACCTTACTAATGATAAATATGTATTGGTTTGAGTTGTATGGCTAGAGCCTTATGTAATGTAATGAATCTTTAAACTCAGGTTAGTTCAGGTTAAATAGTTTTAAGATTATACAAAAAATAGATTTTTTTAAAAAAAACCTCTAAAAAATAAATAACTAGAAACTAAAACATCAGGATAAACTTCTGTTTTAACATATCTACCGGTACCATATTTGATACAAGGATTAACATACATTACGTTTCTCGAGGTGCCTTGCAAATATTTTTAGTTTCAGTGTAATCTGCAGATAATTGGTGTAAAAATCTCAAAACTTTAGAGTTTAGAACTCAGAGTATACCAAAATGAAGAAGGAAATAGGGTTCATTGAAAAATGTCAGCATAAACAACAGGACTTGACTGAAAATATGCAGATAAACTGGAAATGTCTTTTTCAGTTTGATAGTAAAATTTTGCTGTTGCTGTACCCCACCCCAAAAAATGAAAAAAGACAAAAAGTAGTTGCTTTGTAACAATACTACCTTGAATAGTGCCATCTTTCACAACAAAACTTTTTATTTCTACTTATTTGATAGGTTGGTTGTCCAAAAAGATGAAGATAAGTTGGTCTGCATATGATACGTTTGAGGCTAATTTCAAGCCTTTGGTGGTGGTTGAACTTGCACAAAATACCAAAGATGAAACCAAAGAGTGGCTGATGCAGAAGATTGTAGGGAAGAAGAAGAATGGAGGTAAGTGCCCTTAGTTTTATTAGGCAATTTATAAGCACCATTGACATTTCTTGTGAACATTGATTTATAATACACACTAGAAAAGAATGTGTATATGCAGTCAAAAAGATTTTTCAAGCTACTTTTAAACATTTTTCTTTTGCAAAGATTGTGATCTATTTTGGAAATGTGAATGTGAGAAGAATAAAAATAATTTTGAATCTAACAAGAGAAATAGTCCAAATGTTGTATTTAGCTACAGACATAGGATATGTGCTGAGATATGTGTTTAAGTTATTCAGTTTGTCTGTTCTTCCATAACACAAGAATTTATGCAGGCAATGAATATGTTTCAACTACTAAGAAAATTAATTTCATATTTAGGAATTTGCTTACGTTAGAAGCTCTCAGATTACACAAGAAGCAAAGGATGGAAACTAATCAAGAAGAGAAGCAACCTAGAACTAAGGAGAAATTTTCTGACAGTTAGAACACTTAATCAATGGAACAACATGCTTCCAGAGATTGTGAATGCTCCAACACTGAAAGTTTTAAAGAGATTGGACAACCATTTTTTTTAGTTTACTTTATTGCCATTGCACCTCATACAATGAAAGCAAACACCATCTTCAGTGCACATCATGACCATTAAAATAAAGACAAACACACATCCTTCACCCTTCACAAATTGAATGGGAAACCCTCGACACCACACCAACACTGCACTATACAGCAGAATTCAAAAGAGCTACTGCCCTGGGATAGAAGCTGTTTTTCAGCCTATTTGTCCTTGTTTTTATTATTCTGTACCGTCTGCCAAATGGTAATAGTTCAAAAAAAGGGTTCCCAGGATGAGATGGATCTTTGAGAATGTTTTGAACTTTCTTAAGGCAGCGGGAGCTATAAAGCTCTTCCAATCTGCCACTGTGCAATTGGCAAACCATACAGAGGTGCAGTATGTTAAAATGCTCTATATGGTGCAGCGGTAGAAGGTCACCAGCAGTTTTTTATTCAGTTGTTGTTTTCTGAGAAGCCTCAGGTAGTATAATCTCTGCTGGGCCCTTTTGACCAGAGCTGCAATGTGGACACCCCGGGTCAAGTCCTTTTTTAGGGTAACACCAAGAAACTTAAAATTGGCCACTTGATCCACTTGGTCTCCATTGGGCTGGATCTCTGGTCTACTCCTATAATCCACTATAAGCTCCTTGGTCTTATTGGTGTTGAGGACCAAGTTGTTGTCTCCATACCACGAAAGCAACCGGTCCACCTCATCTTGGTAGGCAGTCTCATCCACCACCCCCCAGAAATAAATCCTACCACTGTTGTATCATCTGCAAATTTAGCAACAGTATTACTAACGTGAGTGGGAATGCAGTCATGTACATAAAGAGTATAGAGTAAGGGACTCAACACGCAATCTGGTGGTGTACCAGTGTTAAGAATAAGGCTGAAGAGGTATGATTACCTAATCTGACCCTCTGAGCAGCCAGACAGGAAATCCATAATCCAAATGCAGATTGAATTACAAGGCCCAAGGTCCAGAAGTTTAGACACTAGTCTTTGTGGAAGAATTGTGTTAAACACAGAACTAAAATCCACAAAAAGCATCTTCACATTTGTCTGAAATAGTATAGTTATACTCTCCCCACCCCCACCCCCAAGATTCCTGTAGCTTCAACACCTTCTATCATTCCATCTCTGTTAGAATTAAGTCCAATATGGCTGGTCCCCTTGTTCCCTTCCCTACTTTTGGGAAAGAAAATTATCTGCTAGGTTTGTCAGGAACCTGTTTGATCTTCCACTTGGTATAGAGTTTGTCTCCCATTGATGTCAGGGTAGTTAAAATCCCCCATTACTATTGTGATGTGCTTCCTACATACCTTAGTTAACTGACTAGCAAAAAGTTAGTTTGGTTGGGTGGCCTATAATATACACCTATAGCAATGTCAGTTTCCCCCTTTTTATATTAACCGAGATGCATTCGTGGCAGTTTTCATCATTGTTGTGCTCTATTTCTGTAGAGATGTAGTTATTTCTTATATATAGTGCAACTTCACCTTCTCTTTTAAATAATTTTTCTTTTAAATAATTTAAATCTCTGTAGCTGTAATTCCATTTGTGAGTTTCATCCCACCAAGTCTCCGTAATGGCAATGAGTTTTTTCTTTTTAATTGAAAACTTTGAAAAAATAATTATATGGATAGAATATCATTTTATTAATTGGCTACGTGCCATGAAGTTGGGGTTGACTCTTAGTAACTACATAGTTAGGTTTTCTCCATGACAATCTATCCCTAATGATGGAGTTCAAAGACCAGTTATTTTTAGTGTGCCAAGATGTCTAACTGTCTGGGCAGCGTTTATTCTTTTTATATGATTTTTACAAAGCAGGCAAAGGCAACGTAGGTACAGCATTAGGATTGGTGAAATCCCCCATCAATCCTTAAGAATAGTGGTGATGTTAACAGATGAGATCATTGTACCAGTCCAGGAATTACCAGCCCGGAACATGGAGTGAGATCATATAAGTATTTGAGGCCCAGAGGCACAGCAGTGTGCTGCTTGCCCCCCCTATAGGATCTATATCTCTACTACACCCTAACTTGATTTTTCAGCTCCTTCAGTGGTGCACTCAATGCCATTTTCAGAATATTTGAAGCTGACTTTTATGGATTTTTGTGTTTGAAACAGTTTATATGAAAATATTTTGCATAAAAGGTTTTGATAGTCAAGACTCTGCTTTTTTATTTGTTGCTTTTGATTTTATTTTGCTTTTATGAGTATTAAAATAAACTAATGTATTAATGCTTTATGTATAATTTAATTGAAAATATTAGAAAATATTCTAATCTAATCAGTTTCCATTGATGTTTCTTTTTCTTCCCCTCTGGGTCTACTTATTTCTAACCTTTCCTAATTCAGTACTGCCTTTGAATCCAAGAATTTCACGACAGAAATGACCCAATAAATGAAATCACTGTGTAATTGGTTTAATTTTATCCAAACAAGTTTTGTGAATATAGCTGTCATTCCCATGTTTATGATTTAGCAAAACCTGTGAATATAATACACATAGTACATCCTCTTCATTATGACCTTAAATAATCTACTTCATTTGTTTTCCTTTTTGAAGGAGCCCAACTTTTAGTTAAACCTTTGGTGGAGGAAGGAAAAGAGATTGAAGGAAGCAAGAACATATATCTTGTTGGAGCATCTTATTTAAGGCTGCTTCTAGGAGCTGAAACTGTAGGGTTGGTTAAAGAATGTAATGATAATACAATGAGAGCATTTACATATACATCTAGAAAAAATTTTAAAGATTTTGCAGGTAAACAAAAAGTTAATTGTAAAATCAATTTATGTTTCTTGCTATTTAGGATCACACTGTTAACCTTTTCAGGAGATATTGTGAAATAAATAAGCATAATGTAATTGGGTAAATTTTGCCCAGAATTCCAGCATTCTGTTAATTTCTGATCTTCTGAACTTGGAATGTAAAAATGCTTGAATATTTTTCTTAAACTTAAGTTTTCTGTGATTATAAAAGTTATTCAGTATTCATATTAAATATTTTTTTAAACCTTATAATCTATACTTTTAATAAATATATAGCATCTCCCTTAATAATTAACTGTTTTAGGAATGTGGAGACTTTTTCCATGGATATTGAAAGCTTATTTCTGAATATGTCATATTATATACAGGATTTTAGAATCACCATGTAATTACTTTTGCTTGGAACTTATCAAAATAAGAATCTAGTTTTCAACAATGCATTTCTTTTTTGTTTAGAGGATAATCATGATTTTCTTACAATGGCAGAATGTCAGTACATTGTCAAACATGAACTTGAAAATTTAAGAGCTAAAAATGAAAAGATGATCCCTGGCTATCCTCAGGCAAAGCTTTATCCAGGAAAGTCAATTAGTGAGTAATTCATTAATTTTGCATTACATATGTAATTATATTTAAAAATTAAAATATAAAAATCTTTGGCTCTTCATTTAAGAGCATTGAATAATGTTGCTATGGTAAATATTGTCTGCACAACTCCCATAGTTTCAGTTACTTATTTATTGATCATTGCACAATCAGCCAAATGTTCAGACTGAGTTTGGCATTTTTGTTTACCAATCAAGTTCTTACCAAGGACCTAGGATAGGCAGATGTAGATGTTTGATGGTTGTAGAGATATCATCGCAGGATGGAAGCTTTTCCCAGTAAAGTCACCTTTTGCAATTGACTGATGGAGTATTTGCCAATACCAATGGTGTTCAAGTGGTGCTCCAGTTGTTTTGGGATTGCACTCAAAATCCCTATTACTATTGGTACTACCTTTGCTTGCTTTTGCCACAGTAGTTCTATTTCTATTTGTAGGTTTTTGTATTTTGTTATCTTCTCCAGGTCTTTCTCTTCTAATCTGCTGTCACTGCTAAACCTACTATTCAGACTTTTTTGTCTTTCTTATTGACAATTGTTAAGTCTGGGGTGTTGTGTGGCAGGTGCCTATCTGTTTGAATTCTGAAATCCCTAGAGCAGTTTAATTTCTTTATTTTCTGTGCCTTTCTCTATTTTGTGGTCCCACCAATTCTTGCTTGCAGGCAAATGTATTTCTTGCAGATCTTCCAATGCACTATTGTTGCTACTTTGTCATGCTGCCACTTGTACTCAGCCTTGCAGCAATTTACTAGGTGGTCCAATGTTTCTTCAGCTTCTTTACATAGGCAATACTTATTGTCTGTTGCTATCTTCTCAATTCTGGTTTTGTATACGTTTGTCCTTAAGGATTGGTCTTGTGTGGCCAGAATTAGTCTCTTGACCTCTTCAACTTTTCTGCTATTAGCTATTGCCATATCTTGTTATTATCTGCTTTCCCTACAATTTTTTAATGTATTGGCCATGTAGTGCTTTGTCTGCATTCTGGTCTTCAGTTGATCTTTTCTTGTAGTCCAGATTGGTCTCCCCAGTAGTCAGTAAGTTTTCCGGGCAAAGTAACTTTAGTTCCACTTCTTCATTGTCCTTCAGATATTCTTCCAAAGCTTTTTTATCTTCTTCAACTATCTGATGTACTTGCAACATTCCATGCCCACCTTGTTTACCTTTGCAGAGTCTGTCAATGTTGCTGTGAGGATGAAGGGTCGTTATTATTATTTTTAATTATGCTTGAGTCCAGTCCACTATTCCTGCTGAGTATCTAATACCTGGAATTGCTCAGGTGTTGGTAGCCTTGATGGTATTTTCTCCGTTGAGTTTGGACTATATGATCTTCTACACTCTCTTGATGTATTCATCTCTAATCTTTTTATTGACTTCAGTGTGCTTGATGTTGTCAGCTTGAAAGGATACCCAGCTGGAGTGGGATTCTACCAGTTTGGACCGGTTCTATATGATACTGTGCAGTTTGGAGAACCAGCAAATTGTGCCCCTGGTCGGCCCTGCCCCTCTCTGCCCGCCCCTTCCTTCCTCACCAAGTCATCCTTATTGCGCATGCGTGACATTGTGCACATGCCTGACATCGCTGACTGTGTTCTCCCCCACCCAGTCACTCCTTAGGGTATTTTTTTTCCCTCCTGATGATCAGCTGTTCCAATGATCAGCTGTGCCAGGATCCCCCTTGCTGTCTTTCTGCTTCACCCAGGAGGCTTCCCTAAGGCCCAGGAGGCAAAAAGGGGCTCATGGTGAGGAGCTGCTCCCCGGTGTGCCGTTTTTTGACTTCAGGGCCCCAGGGAAGCCTTCTGGGAGCAAAAATGCCCTCCAGGAGGCTTCCCTGAAGCCAAGGACACAAAAAAATGGGAGGGGGTTGCTGCCAAAAAAGAAGAAGAAGAAGAAGAAGCCATGCCCACCCAGACACATGGCCATGCCCCCCTAGCCACACCCACAGAACTGATTGTTAAAAAATTTGAATCCCACTCCTGATATTCAGATATTTGTAGTAATAATCATCCAAACTCTTTTTTAAAAAGAATTTTTATTTTTTAAAAACAAACAAACACATACAAAACATAAAACCTCTTCCATTTTATATACATACAGTGTGTAAGTTGATTACAAATCTTTTGTGCTATTCTTTTGTAGTCATTTACTCACAATTTATATCAATGTTCACATTGTTGAACTAACATATTCTTGTATATATATCAGTTATTAAACATCCATGACTAAACTATTTATTCCATCATTTTATACGAGATGTTCCAAGTTTTATCTTAAAATTTATGTTATACTTTCAATCAATGGTTATTAATGTCTATATTATGTCTTATATCAATCTATTAAATTTATATCACAAATTATCTAGTCTATTACATTACTATGTCTTTTTGTCCAACCATTGATAAAAAAAACCCCATATCATATAAAATTGTTTATTTTCTTGTTCTCTAATTTCAAATGTCAATTTACTCATTTCAGCACAGTGCATAATTTTCTTAATAACTTCCTCCTGCATAGGTATTTTATCATTTTTCCAATTCTTAGCAAATACAATCCTAGCCACTATGTTAGTACATTTACAATCAAATATTTCAACTCTTTGTTGCATATTTCCGGTATAATTCCCAATAAAAAGATCTCTGGTGTAATTCTATATGTTGTTTTATCATTTTTTCCAACCATGTGTGGATTTTAGTCCAATATTTCTTTGCGTCCGAGCATGTCCACCACATATGGTAATATGAACCAGGTATCTGATGACACTTCCAACATTTATTCAATTTATTCTTAAACATTCTCTCAAGTCTCATTGGGGGTAGTTACCACCTGTAAAACATCTTACACAAATTTTTTTTATATGCAGTTGACATTGTCATTTTATAATTCTGAGACCAAAATTTTTACCATTTTTCTAAATCAATTTCATATCCAAAATTTTTCCCCAAGCAATCATCATTTCTTTAACTTATTCCTCCTCCAATTTAAATTCTAATAAGTGCCCATAAAGTTTTTTAATTACCTTTTCATCAGTACCCATCAAAATCTTATCTAAGTCAGTCAACTTATCATAAATTCCTTCTGCTTTAACATCTTTGTCAAATCTAAATTGTATTTGCAAATATGAAAACCAATTCATTTTTACACCTTGTTCTTCCAATGCTTGCATAGATTTAAGTTCACCCTTTTCATTCAATATCTCCCCATATCTAACTGTTTGTTCCTTTTTATATATTATTGGATAAGTAAAAGCTTCAATGGTAGATATTCATAGTGGAATTTTTAAATAATATTGTCTTTTTATCTTCTCCCAATTCAAAAATAATGACCCTCGAATATAATGTCTTCTAAAATACCCCTGTGTTTTAGTTCCCTTATACCAAAGGAAGGCATGCCATCCCAACAGCAAGTCATGCCCTTCTAAGATCAATAGTCTATTGTTCCTTAATGTTATCCATTCCTTTCCCCACATCAAATTTGTTGCTTGGTAATACAACTCCCAGTTAGGCAAGGCAAATCCTCCTCTTATTCTTGCATCTTGTAACAATTTTAATTTTATTCTTGCTTTTTTGCCCTGCCAAATATATTTCAACACAATTCTATTTAAATCTTCAAAAAAATCCTTCCCTAGTCGGATTGGAATTGTTTGGAATAAATATAAGATTCTAGGCAATACATTCATCTTAATTGTAGATATTCTCCCAATCAGTGATAATTGTTAATTTTCCCATTTTGTCAAATTTGTCGCAATCTGCTGTTTGAGTTTAAAATAATTATCCTCCTTCAGTGTACTACATCTTGATGTAATGTATATCCCTAAATACTTAACCCGACATTGCTGACTGCGTTCTCCCCCGCCAAGTTACTCCTTAGGATATTTCTTTTTTTTGTCCCTCTGGATGATCAGCTGTTCCAATGATCAGCTGTGCCGGGATCCCCCTTGCTGTCTTTCTGCTTCACCCAGAAGGCTTCCCTGAGGCCCAGGAGGCAAAAATGGGTGTATGGTAAGGAGCTGCCCCCACTCCCCAGTGCACTGTTTCTTGCCTCCTGGGCCCCAGGGAGCCTTCTGGGAGCAAAAATGTCCCCCGAGGGCTTCTCTGAAGCCAAGGAGGCAAAAAAAAAGGGGGGGGGGGTTGCTGAAAAAAAAAAAAAAAGAAGCCATGCCCACCCAGTCACATGGCCATGCCCACCTAGCCACACCCACAGAACCAGTTGTTAAAAAATTTGAATCCCACCCTGATACCCAGATATTTGTAGTAATAATCATCCAAACTCTTAATGTTATTTTCATGGGGCATCTTGATTCCTTCTGTTTTCACTATTTTTCCCTGTTTGATAGTAAGTGTGGCACATTTGTCCAAGCCAAACTCTATTCAATATTTTGGCTATATATACCGACAATATTGAGCAATGATTCTATTTCAGATGGTGTTTATCCATACAATTTCAGATCATCCATCTAAAGTAGGCTTGTCCAACCCGCGGCCCACGGGCCGCATGTGGCCCAGGTCGCCTCGTAATGCGGCCCAGTGCCCACCCCAACCTTCGTGCCAGAGCCAGCGAGGAGGAGGAGGAGGAGGAGAGGCAGGCGCGAGGCAGGGCGAGGCGAGTGCCAGGCCAAGCAGCAAGAGAAAAGGCGGGCGCCGTCTGCCCCCGCCACTGCTGCCCCCGCCGCTGCCGCTGCTGCCCCCACCGCCGCCGCTTCTGCCCCTGCCGCTTCTTCCCCTGCTGCTGCCGCCCCCGCCACTGCTGCCCCCACCGCCGCCGCTTCTTCCCCTGCCGCCGCCACCACTTCTTTCCCTGCCGCTGCCGCCGCTGCCCCCCCCGCCGCCGCCACTTCCGCCCCCGCCGCTTCTGCCCCCGCCGCCGCTTCTGCCCCCGCCGCTTCTGCCCCCACCGCTGCCGCCGCTTCTGCCCCTGCCACTTCTTCCCCCACCGCTGCCACCGCTTCTGCCCCCGCTGCCGCTTCTGCCCCCACCACCGCTGCTGCTTCTGCC